TCTCTCTCTCTCTCTCTCCTCTTCTCTTCTCCATCGCCTCAAAACACCGATTAAAAAACAACCCAGATCAAGAATTTTAGAACCCAAAACTCAATCCAAACCCATATCAAGAGAGGTTTGAGTTCATGGTCCTTTGCTCTATGTATGTGAGTGGGATTGTAAGATTGGATTTTATTTTGGTGAGAGTCTGCTGCTTGCGAATTTCCTCATCTGGGTCTGTTTTTATACGCAAAGCAGTGAGATTTTATACTTGTGAAGATATCACAGATGTGATATGATGCAAAGGGCAAGTAATTTTCTGGGCACAATCTTCAACAGAAGCCCACAACTTGGTTGTTTGGTGTTAGGTGTTTACTTGTCCACGCTTTGACTTCGCTTGAGTATGAATTCTTCCTTGATTGAGACTGGAATTTTGAGATAGGGGAGGAAGAAGAAGAAAAGTGAGAAGAGCAGAGAGTGAAGGTCTCAGAGAGAGTGAAGGTCGCGAGATCTATTTTGTGAGAGGGACAAACGTTGTCCTTTCGTAAAATGTTTAGGGGCATTATAGGAATAATGAAACTTTCATTAATCCAAAAACCGGCTCTTTTTTTAAGCAGCTTTTGAAAGCTGGGTATTGGCGACTTTGAGTTTTTGCTTTTTATGATGGGTGTTTTTAAAATAAGCGTGTTTTTTTGGGTTTACCAAACACCCAACTCATGCCAAATTTTTATTAAAGCCACTTTTTTTAAAATTTAAGCGGGGCCAAACGCTACCTAAGTACTTAGTTTTTTTTTTAGAAGAAGATTTCATCCATAAGCCAAAATAGTTATACAAAGCCTGTTGGGCTCGCAAATCTCACGTCCTAGTGCTCCGGACTGAGGGGATGTGCGTTGACACGTGGCATCCTTCTTTTGGTGCGGTGCGGTTGTGCGCAGGCATGCTAGCACGGTCTACCGTGCGTTTGAGGGTGATGTGTTTGGATGAATGGTTAAATGGTGCGCCTGTTTGAGTTTGACTTCCAATCAAACGATTATGGCCGAGAGAGGAACTGATCTCGGCCGTAAGGTTCACGGCCTGAGCTACAAGGCCGTTTAGTGGTGGTGTTACTGGTGGATTTTAGGTGGTGCTCCGGCGCGTTGCTTAGAGGGCAACGGTCGTATGATATATGGAATGAACGAAAGGGTAACAGAGATGGTGCTCCGGCGCCTTAAAGATCAAGGATCGTATGATATATTGGTGAATGGATTTTCCTTACAAACTATCACTACTCCTAAGAAAGTGAGTAAAGGTATTGAAAGTGCATTACAAGAAGATAAATGACAGGAAAATATAAGTTGCTCTGTGGGAGGCTTGTGTTTGGTGTTTGAACCCTTTGAATGTAGTCGGAGCTTGGAATTTATAGGAGAAGCTCTTGAGAGATTGTCGAGGCTGAAAATCTGCATGGTGGGCCTGATCAGAGCAAGTGGGTAGTCAAATGGGCATTTGGGAGTGTGAAGCATGGTGGTGTAACCCCATAAATCCAGGCCGCCACCCTAATCGTGGGTTCTGCGCCATTGGCCGTGGGGACGCATTTAATGCACTCGACTGATGGTTGGTGACTTAACCTTTCAAGTCATAAGACTTTTACGCCTAATCACCCTGATTTTTCTCACCATACCCTGACTTCAATCACTTCCCTCTTTCTCTCGTGCATTAAATGCTCTTTTGCGGCTAGTGGGTTTGCTGCAGTAGTCAGAGGCGTTACTTCATTAAATGGGGCGTGGGTCCCTGACGTCAGGTGGCGATGCCACTTGGCCCTCTACCTCGGCCGTCTCCTTGAGGAAATATCACTCCCTTCGGCCACTGCCTATAATGCCGAGGCCATGAGGGTTTGTCTTCATACCTCATCTTGGTTCTATGAGAGAAAGCGAACAACGCCCTGCCATGTTTGGTTCTCTTGGGCAAGTACAAAGGCCGAGAGGGAGTCCCTTCGGTCGGCTTTCTCGGCCGAGATTTATTAGGCACAAACAAAGCCATGGACTAACAAGAAGGTTCGACCCAGACCACAAAAGACTGTTACAAGAATAGAAAATAAAACCAACTAAACACCAACACAGTAGACTGTAGCATCCCACATCGACCAACGAAGAGGGGGTGATGTGCCTTATATGTACATGCCCACCTCCATCTAGCACGAGGCTTTTGGGAGCTCACTGACTTCGGATTCCATAGAAACTCCGAAGTTAAGCGAGTTTGGGCTAGAGCAATCCCAAGATGAGTGACTCACTAGGAAGTTACTAGTAAGTTCCCAAAAACAAAACCGTAAGGGCAGGGGGGGCCCAAAGCGGACAATATCGGAGCACTCTCAAACCAATTAATGCAAAAAATAGCAAAAACCAATTAATACAGTGATAATAAGAACGCAATAGGAGGCTATATTGTAGCAATACTAAGGCAATATGAGGCTATACAGTAGCAATACAAAAACTGTAATAGTCCATCTTATGCGGGAAATGCTAGGCAAAACACATTGTATATAATGTTCTCTCTTCAATGTATAATATAAGTAAAGGTATTTTTTTCAAAAGCAAAATATCTAGGTCCAATCGTTATGAAAAAAAAAAAATTGAACCCTGCAAAAGAGATGGCAAAACAAAAAAAATTCCAAGTCCTCTTTGTTGTGCAACAACAATTTCATCAACAAATATGCAAGGTGCATTTTCCATGGCCTTCTTAAAAAGATAGCAAACTCATGAATCACCAACACCAACAACAACCAAAGGTTAAGTCAATAAGCCTAGTAATAACTCATAGGTAAGCCTAAATCTAAAACACTGAATGATGATGGTTGTCATACTACAATGCCTCTGTACACTCTTCTCGGTCATCAAAGAACTCTTTTTTCTCACCTTATAACTGATATGGCAAAACAAAAAAAATTCCAGGTCCTCATTGTTGTGCAACAACAATTTCATCAACAAATATGCAAGGTGCATTTTCCATGGCCTTCTTAAAAAGATAGCAAACTCATGAATCACCAACACCAACAACAACCAAAGGTTAAGTCAATAAGCCTAGCAATAACTCATAGGTAAGCCTAAATCTAAAACACTGAATGATGATGGTTGTCATACTACAATTCCTCTGTACACTCTTCCCGGTCATCAAAGAACTCTTTTTTCTCGCCTTATAACTGATATGGTTTATGGCATCTGCCTGCAACAACCTACAACAATGAAACATAATTTTAGAAAGAGAAACAAGGAAGGTTATATGAATTGGAGAGCAATTCCAGAGTGGACTGTGGAATGAACAAAG